TGCTTTGGTCTGAAATTATTTTTAAAAGAAATAATTAAAATTGTTATATATCTTAATTATATATCTATGTTCATTCTACAGATATTTCTTAAAATTGAGTAGTTGTATAACTATAGCATTAAATTTAGTACTTCATGGCTCTATGAAAAACACATAAAATTTGGAAATAGAAAAAAATCATCTTAAATTTCACACTAATTGTGTGATATATTGGTAATATACAGAAATATTACCAATTAACATTTTCATGATAGAATAGAATCATTTTTCTAATTCATCATGAGAGTATAACAAGAGAGCCACTGACACACCTATACCCCAAGTGAAGGCCATGTTGATTAAGTAGCCAAATATTTATATGTTTAACTCTGTCTTCTAAACAGCTGTTATTTCAAATTCCACAAGTGCAGTGTTAGAAAAGTGAGTTTATGTGTGTGTGTTATTCAGATAGGTGCTTGCAAATCTAGATTGATATGGTCAGGAGACTGGAATGCAGGAAGAAATAGTAACATTAACTTTCTCCAAAAATTACAAATAAAAATAATCCATTAGATGATTATTAATTATGAGTTACACTTGATTAAAATTTTATATCATTTTAATATCATTGGTAACATCAATTAAATTTCAGTTGTTTGGAAACAGATTATACTTCAAGGTTATTAAAGTTGGATAAAATAGTTAACTTTGCAGTAAACCCAGCCACCTTGGAATACTGAGATTGTGCACATGAGATTTCTAAATACACACATGTATACATAGAGAGCTTAAATTTTGGTGCTGTTTTAAAACAATTTGTTTCTAAGAGAACAAGTAAAAGGAAACTGTTCTATTTTTTTTTCTATTTACTGATCTGATCTTTGTAATAATGTTTAAGTAAGATTGTAATATCATAAAGATATTTCAATAATATTCTCTTTGAAACATTGTTTGCAAGCCCCCTGGTGTGTGGTTTCTTTTTTTTCTTTTTTCCTCTTTAAAGTGAAATGCTAGAACCCTGTAAAATCACAAAAGAATGAGATTTATATTCAAGAAATATTATTTGAATTAGACAAGGGAAAAGGCCTCACCCCATCTGTTGTCTGGAGAATCACAATCTCTGGTAAGTATGCACTGAGTCGTACACAAGGCTTAAGATCCCGTTTACATGTACAAACATAATACTTAACAATCATAAAAATGAAAATTGCATTTTTCCATTAATAAACCTGTCTATGTAACAGTGGGTTTTTTTCTTTTTTTCAAGAATTTCAGACTAGAAAATTTGCTCCCTGAAAAATCATATTTTATTTGAATTCACCATTAAAAGGCTACCGTTTGGAAATTAATGGTATGGCTTTTAGTTTATAGTTTATGGTTCTCTTGTTCTTGTTAGTTCTTAAACTGCTTCAGTAATTCATATGCTAAGCCAGTATCTTGGAAATTTAAAAGAAACAGTGAACCAATTTAACCGAAAATGAATACTGTAACGAGTATCACTTTCTTCATATATTGCAGACTAACAAGTATTGAACGTTTCATGGGGCCAGTCACCATGCTAACTAGCTGATATGATTTCCCTCTATAATTCCTCGCAACAACCCTACTAAGTAGGGACAACTTCTGCTCCTTTTAATTTGTAATAAACAAAATTTTAGAAAGACTTGCCCAAGAATTCCTGAGATAATTTGTATCAGAACTTCCATCTGAACCTAGGCTGTCTGCCTCCAATCTGTCTCCTCCATCCAGAAGCAGTACTTCTTCCTCCAAATGGTAACAAAGAAAGTTGCCGTTCTCAAAACGAATTCCTCAGAATGGATGAAAGAGACAACTGAGGTCATTCCTTTTCATTTTAACCAATATTTGTGATTGAATTTGAAAGATGGAGATAAGCAATAAGCTTGGCACATTTTAGGCCATCCTAGAACACATCATTCATAGCCCCATTTACTGAGAATCTCCCTGGTCGTTCCATGGCAAAAACAACCACAGGTTTAAGCCATTTCCGTGGCTTGGATTGGACGTGGCACTGGACAGATTTTATATTGCACGGGCAACCTAACTAAGGCTCCTAGGGAATAGTGAGGGCAGGAGAGAGGCATCATGGCCAAGAAGACGAGCCTATGACTGCACTGTACATTTCCTTTCTGTTCAGCCACACAACAAACGTGGTACCTAGACACTGTGGAAGATGGTTTTCCTCTGGGACTCGGCACTCTACCTGAAGCCTTAGATTTTTGTATATTTGTTCAATTAGGAAGGATGAGGAGGGATCCCTATATTGACATCTATACGCGCCTCAAAATGTTAACTCATAAGGCCACGGGTTCCACTATGTGAGAGAAGACAGAGCCATTTTTATAATAATAATAATGACAATAATAATGGTATTTTCCATTTGTAAGTTCACTGATGCTTTGATAACACTCCAGGTAAGAGAATTAGCGACTAAAAAAAGAAGAGAAAAAAGGGTCCTAAAAAACACTCTGGGCAAAGTGCTGTCCTAGTGAAATATTGATGGGATTATTTATGAGTAAAATGAAGAACATTATGGTATATTTTGTTTTCATACAATTCCAAGAATAAGTTCAAAACCTTGAAATGTATTCCATCCATCTATACCCCAGCAGTATGCCTCTCATCCTCGGCCCCTTGTGTCTGGTGTGTCTAGAGGGGCAGCTCTGTGCTGGTTCTCAGCATCGGAGACCAGGTCTGCGTGCAGGCCACTGTGGACCTGCTGGGGCCAGAGTTCTCAGCTCAAAATCAGACTGTGATGTGTTCTCAGATGCCTGAGTGGCCACTGCTCAGTTCAGACACCCTTCAGGGACTGCTGTCCATGCTCCTGCCATGGAAAGAACACCACTCCGAGTTCTTTCTCCAGCGTTAGAATCTCTACAGGGTATGCTGAGAAGGCAGGATGCAGGGGTAGTAACTGATTTATCTTCTCCTTAAAGTGAATGAATAATGGGTAATTTGTCAGTAAAGCATCCTCTGGGAGGCAGGGGGCAGGCAGGAAACCACATATATAATTGCTACTGTTTATCAGGTTTCATCCTCAGAATTGTTGCTTCCCTTCCCAGTCATAAGATATGAACTAAACCAATGAGGTTTGGCCCAGATGTCAACATTCACCTAATATATTCTCGAGTTCTAAGTCATAGGAATGTCCTAACTACTAAATCATTTGGAAAATAATCACACCTTCCAATTTGCAGATCCTTATATCAACATCTTTGTTAACTTGGTGGACCTCATTCTCATTTTCATGATTTTTTTCCTTCTCATTTTCAGATATTTTTCCAAGTGTATTTTTACTTTACTTCTTTCCTCCTTTTTCAAAATGCGTTTTTCTCATCTCCCTTATAAACCACAACCCAGTTCTCTCTTTTTCTAACTCTATTCTCCTCTCCCACTGAGAATGGAGGGAGAGAAGGCAAGCATTTGGTTGTGGCTTATGAACCCCAGTTTTTTAAAATTTCTTCATTGGTTTTTCCCCCATCTTTCTATCTTCCCTCCTTAATAACAAATACTGGTTACATAATTTTTCTCTATCTCATTGCTTCTTTTAAGGTTTTCTCCTCCTGGATTACATCTAAACAACATAGCCTTTGGGGCTTCTCATCCTTCCCCATTTGGACCATTTCATTTTATTTTGCTGACATATTATTTCTAGGCCTTTTAATCTTACCTGGTCACCAAAAGAAATCCCTGGCACTGCTCTAACATACCTGACACTGAGACACTGGTGTATTTCCTACAATGTTCCCTCTGATCTAGCCTCTGTGGCACTGGTTCTTTTTTACTTTCTATAAATTATTTCTGAGAGTACAACCATATAAATCTTTCCTGATCTCACCTTAGCCTGATGGAACACTTTGAGCTTGCACGACAGAGCTGAGTTCTCAAAGAACATTTTTTAAGTTCTGGAGTAAAAGAAAATACAGAACAGAAGTTGTTATTTAAAAAAAAAAAAATGGAGAGGCAGTGAAAGGTTTTTAGAAGAAGCAAAGAAATGAAGTCCTCAAAAAGTGAAAAGTATAAATCCTGTGGACGAGGTATTTTGTACCAAAGACCCCATGACGAGTGAAATCTGTGGGTTGGTAAGCTATTTGCAAAGTTCTTTTCCTCAATCCTAGTCTAATAGCCTCCTCTAGGACATTCCTTGTTCCTGTTCACCTGGCCCTGGAGAGAGACTCTAGACTTCTGTTGAGCAGAATCAATTTTTCTTTGTAAGGTGATAGAAAGAACTACTATGCCAAGAGCCCAAAGGGTGGAGCGTATTTAGTTATGATTGTTGCACTAACGAGATATACCAGACCCTCTCCTGTGCTAAGCAAAATTATTTCTAAGGCTTGGTCAGGACAGCTGTAGGAGTGGGGATGAAAGAAGAGGAGGACTTCAGGTATGGGCGCCTGGCATGGGATGAGGGGGTTAAAGGCAATTAAGTGTTCCAACTGCAACTGTAGTGTGAGGTGTTGTGAAATGTGTCTCCACCTATGTGAGGTATGGGGGTCGGGGTAGATGGCATTCCTTCATTTTACCAGCAGTGATGGAGAAGCATTTAATATGCATAACCCCTTCTACATTCTGCCTGTGAATTCCAAGATACATGATGGCTCAAGAACTACCAAAAAACAAAACAAAACAAAACAAAATACCCTGAAGTTTCATATGACATAAAGCAAAGGGGACTGACTCTTTGCACTGCAGTGACATCCAGTCCTAATTTAATCCAGGAAGAAGTTGCCAGGCACTTAAGACTAGGCTGTTTCTTCTCACCTGAAAGTTGGGGTCTTCCAAAGAGTATCCTGGGAATATCCAGGGGAACAGTCATTTTATTTGTAGTTATAAATAAGTATAAATAGACATTAGACATCCTTGTCTTTTAGCAGTGACAACTACACAATCTACTAGCCAATAGGCCAGCAGGATACGTACTGTGTGTATTTGTGTGTGTGCTTTTGCTTGTGTGTGTGTGTGTGTGTGTGTGTGTGTGTGTGTGTTGTACTCGCATGCATGTGTTAGAAATGGGTAGTCTTCTCAAACGCCAAACTGTTGTAGCTGTTGTCCTTCAGATCATGGCCTGGAATATGGACCAGGTTTTCCTGCTTGAGTCCATTCTGTAAGACAGATTCAGCCCCTTGTTTCCAGGAACTGCCATTCTCAAGGTTTTCCTGAGGAAAATGAAAAGACACATATTAGACAGTTAGGTCTTGATGTATTCCAAATCACATGGAATCTTCCTGAGCATCTCCTCCTCAAATTATATGGCATGATCAAACAATATAATATCGAATCATGTAATCATGTAAATATGAAAGCAATGCATTTCTTGACAGCTAAGATGACTCAATCCATCTGGGTAAGATTTCTAATGATAATAAAAATGGAACAATTTAGTGAGCATTCACATTTCATCGTGTTGTGTGAAAAATGTATATCTCTAAGTATCGGAGTCTTGTAAGGTAGTAGTCTCATCTCCTGAGGAGAGACCAACCCATGTCTCAGATGGTGGTGGTGCCCTTCCTTCCTGGGGGAAGAGAAGAACCTCATGATCATAAGAGAGGGACAGGCAAGCAGACTCCCACAGAGGCTGCCCAATGTCATTCTTCAGGGAAGGAGCCCAAGAATGACATACTAAGTGTTCCCTCCCCCTCTCAGCTCAGCCTTGAGAACAGAAGCTGCCATTATCAACAGGGTTGATCATTCATCCCAGGAAATTCTTGACCAGAAACCTAAGTCTGTAAATCAGTAAATATCTTGATTATTTCCTTCCAGAACATTCTCAAAAATCCATTTATCCAAACAACACAATGCTCAATCAGCTGCTTTTCAGCAAAATAGATTGCCTTCACATTCTGAATGCCTGTCAAAATGGTGTGCTCCTGACTTCAGTAAAGTAACTGTTACACTCAGCTTTACTTCATATACATGTTACTGTGGCATTTTGGGGAAGGAGAACAATTAACAACCTAGGTGATGTGACATGGGTGAAGAGTCTGTCTTCTAGAATACTAGCAGAATAAAATGTCTGCAACTGAAAGAATGTGAATAAACCATAACTAAGAAAACAAAACAAAACAAAAAAGATACTCCCGCACTTAATGAGTCTGAGAGGACAGACATAGGTAAGACCATCTGTAAACTTGACAGGAAACATTGTATCTCCCAGGGTCCTGCTGTGGTCAAACGCCATAATGGGGCCGAGGGATTATTGCTCTCTTACAGAATGGGCCCCAGAGAACTTTGTTTTTGTCTGCAGCTTCCCTCAGACTCCTCTCAGAATCCTTCAGTGGGAACCCAAACCTTGCAAAAGTCATGTCCAGCATCCCTCTTGTTAAGGGCAGCATTGCCTGCTTCCCTGGAGTGTCCCCACCCCCGGGAGCTGCATCAAGTCAACAAGGTCAATTTGGTTTGACCGTAGGCTGTTCCTGATGGTCTTTGGCAGCTATGATTCTAATGATACTTGGATAGTGTCTCTAGCCCTGCCTGCTCTAAACACAGCTCTCAGTGGGGTAGGAAAGGTATGCATCCTGCTGTTTCTCTATTTAAGAAGTTCCCCCCAACAATCTGACTCTCTATTTACACCTCATGGAGCTAGAAATGTCTGTGTCCAGATGGTACCGGATGAGCTCCTCCCGGTTCCCAGGTAAAAGCTGAAGTTCAAAGAGGTTAAACAATTTACCCAAGGCTAGTAAGACACGGAACCGGGATTCTCTCCAGGGCTGACTCTCAAGGCTATGTTTTTCACCATGATACTAGACAGCTGTCCCCTGTTTTATTCCTTTTCTACAGTTCATTTTTATATTTTTCCTAGAATTCCCCCTCAGAAGGGTTAAAAAGAATTTTGGAAATTGATCACTTGCAAAGCTAGCAACTCGCCCCAAAGATACATGTACAGAGCTATATATATTTACAGGCTCAGAAACTAATTAGCTGGGCTAACAGACCTTGAAACTAGATTTGGGTTGTAACATTCACTGCCTTCCCTTCTCACAGCCACCTGTGCAGGTGGTTCAAATGGGCAAAAAGGGAATCCGTTTGTGCTCGTGTGTGTTTTTCAGAAGTTCAAACATCGGCTCACCTGCTCCGTTCCACCATCATGCTGGACACCACACCAGCACAGTCGTTTGTATTTCTCAGACCAAAAGCAAACTAAATTGCAAACTGGTCTAATTAGCAGTGGTTGAATATCCTTGCCACTCTCTTGACCTATTAACAGAAGGACAGATGGATGAGGTGATCGCATGCTTCCAAGGCTTCGTTAAGGGTTTAAGTATTGTCTACTTGCTAAGTAGGTCATTTCTTAGTGTAAGGGCGAAAATAAGCCTGCCTGGTTAATAGACAGAAATTGGTAACTGCTCAAAGTGAGTGGGGGGATAGTTTTTAAATATCCTCTAACTGTGAGGTCAGGCAAACTCACAGGTACAGAGTTAAGCAGAGACACCATATATATTTTTAAATATGGATTATGGAAAACTCTACTCTTCCCCTTTGGTAGGCCACCAGGAGGAATAGCAGGAATCTTATTTCTTCCTCTAGGAAAACTCTTTGTTTTTCAGTCGCATCAGGTATATTAGAGGTCATCAGAGTCATTACTTGTAAAATTAAAAATGTTATTTTTAATGTTTCTTCTTCCTTCTACCCCAGGACTCTGAATCAGCAATACCCTCACATTCCCTCCAGCTAGCCTAGGCCTTCCTTACATCTCCTTTCTAACTGCTTTCTATTGTCCCTTTCCTTCAAACCCTGCTGTGGTTTAAGAGTCAGTCACACTGATAGTCAAACCAAAATTTAAAAACTGACAGTATTCCCTGACTAGAACCTTTCTAAATTTTGGTATAATGATAACCATTTGCAAATACAGTGGTTTCTTTGTTTGTTTTGGGGGATGTTTTTCCTCAAATATGCCCCATCTTATTCAATGGCTGTCTTTAATTCAATAACCAATTTCGTCTAAATGTCCCTAGCTGGGGTAGCGGAGTAGAAATTACAACCTTGATTGCATTCCTCCTATGTACCAAACATTGTGCCTGTCCACAAGCCTTTTCCAAATTCAAATTTCTTTCTAGAGATTAAAAACAAAAGTAGATTTATAAAGCTCCAAATTGAACTTTAAATGATATATTCCCTGGCATTATGTCACTCTGTCAAAAGACATTCAACCAAATAGAATTTTACTACCCTTAATCCATTAATAATATTTATTGGTGAGTGCCTTTTATGTACTAGGCACATTTTTATGTAGATTACAAAACATATCTAATCTTTATGAAATTAATATTGTGGGGCACAATTGGTTCAGTCAGTTATACATCTGACTTTTTTTTTTTTTTTTTTTTTACATCTGACTTTTGATTTTGGCTTAGGTCATGATCCCAGAGTCCTAGAATTGAGCCCCACATCAGGCTCCCTGTTCAGCAGGGAGTTTACTTCTCCCTCCCTCTCTGACCCACTCCCTCTCTCTGCTTGTGCTATTTCTCTCTCTCTCTCTCTCTCACTCCTTCTATCTAACAAATAAATAAAATCTTTAAATTTTTTAAAATAAAAAATTAAAATATATGTCATATGGGTTAGCAATAATATTATATGATAATCAGGAGGATGTTTTTGCCTATCATCTTGGAGAGAGTAGACATCTGTGTCTGGGAAGAAGGGCTTCTTGCAGGCATCCAAAATCACACCAGTAAGTCATCCACCTAGTGGATGCGCCAATGCGTGAGGCTAGTCCATGTCTTCCTTGGCCCCAAAGAGAGGACTCTAAGGACCCCACCTGTTACGAAGCTAATGATTATTCCAGCAGCAATGCATCCGAGGCAGCCCACTGCACTGTAGTAAAGGTAGGAGAGCGAATACCAGGTGTCGGCGATGGCAGGTCTGTAGATGACAACAGCACGTGTCAGCAGTTCCACGAGTCCTCATGTCATGATCCACAGTGATGTAGAGGACCACTGACTGTTCCTTGTACGACCTGGCATTTCTCAAAATGTCAACATTTTAATTTTTTGCCATTTGGTTATTCTTTTTTTTTAAAGAATCAATTGTAGACTAGTTGTGCTTGGTCTTACACTCCATCCAACCCATCCTTGCGTTGTAAATATTGCCATGTAGTTACTAAATTATAAGAAGTACAAGGAGGACTGTGCCTCCCATTTCTTTTGTATTATTCATTCTTCAGATATTTATTCAGCCCAGATTTAGTGCCAAAAATCGTGACAGATATTGGAGATAAAATGATGAGTAAGCTACAACGCCTACATAAGGGGAGCTAATGGGCAACAATAAAGGAAATGTAGCACCTCGGTAGAATAGGAGCAAAGGATTCTGGGAACGTTTAAAAAGAGTATCAAACCCAGGCTTATGTGTGAGATAATACCTGAGCTTATTTTTAAAGACTAGTGAATAGCTAATAAGCAAGGAAGGTAGTTAGGGCCACGATTTAGCACTCTAAGGAAAGAGGACGGAAAAAGCACAGGCAGGAGGGAAGAAACATGGGGAACTTGGGAAGTATAATAGGTTGGTGTTATTTGTAAGATTTATGGAAAGGAATGGTTCTAAATTGAATAACACTCAGAGGCATGAGGAAGCAACATAATGGAGTGCTCATAGACTAGGGAGCCAGGACAGTTCTAAGATGTAACTCTACCCACTTCATCCTTCAGAAAAGCCCATAACAACTTTTCCACCTGATAGACAGAGTTAAGGAACTATCCCACATTTCTTAGATTTGTTTCTACAAATAATGAGAGCATGAGAATGTGCATTTATTAAAGTCAGGGACAGTGCCACAGGCTCTAGGTATCTTCTCTCATTTAATCCTCTCAAGCAGCAGCAAAATAAAGATGATTGCCCTCATTTTTCTTCCAAAGACTTAAGAATTCAAGAAGTGACAAGTTACTAACTTACGCAGCTATAGAGTGGATAAGTGGTAAAACCCACAACCAAACCCAGGCATTTCTGATTTCAAAGGCCATGGTCTTCTCCCTACACCATATTATCTCCTGTGTTTTGGCATCTTAAATGACCTATTCCAGCCAGAAAGAGAAGGAAAATCGTTTGTTAAACCCAGTGGAGCTTAATCAAGAAGCTGCTAGTTCACAGCAGTGCCCCCAGCTAAGTAGGTCCACTATGGTTCTCTTCATTGTTCACAAATCTATTCCACTCAGGTCCTTTACTCTTTCAAGGGCACCATCTCTGATCCTCATAATCACGCACCTAGTTTCAAACCCTCCACTACTTCTCCTGTTTTGTACTTAGACTTCTGATCAATGCTTTTGCTGAATTCACTCTTGTGAATCCCGGGATGTAGGGTAACAGATATCTGGGGAACAGTCAACAGCCCTGCATATGCTCTTCAATGCTGGGCACTGCCTGGCAGGATTCTCACAGGAAAAGCAAATTCTGGCTCATCAGCCTTATATCTGGAGAATGCATCTTCCTCTATCCCAGTGACCCACTCTCTGGGACCAAACACCATCTTTAAGGTCCACATACCTGCTATGTAACACTGTAGGCACTGACGTTGTCACATTTGACGGGATACAATGCTCTGTGGATAAAGGCAGGGGCCATGTCTTGGAGTCTGGTGCTGGGTAGATGAAGGCCCCAATGGCCACCCAAAATGACAAGGTGATTCCAGTCAGAAGGCCACCTAATGCACCCTTGATGGAGGGAAAGCAAAAGTTAAGGAGAGGTTTGATAAAGCTGTTGAAAGAAAAAGACATGAGGAACCCATGCCTCAGAGGGTCTTACTCTCCACTCCAAATCTTGGCCACGTGAGCTGGAAACAGCCCACCAAACTGCCTTTTTTCCAGTTTTGTTTAGAAATCACTTGTTCCCTCAATGAAAACATTGGAGAATGTCATAATGGTCACTATGTTTAGAATTCTAGAAGGAAATCTTTCCCTTCCTTTTAGCTTCTTCTTACCATTTAATCTGTTGAGAGATATACAACATGATGGCTATAGTTAACACTACTGTATAATATATATGAAAGCTAAGAGGATACATCCTAAAAGTTCTTCTCCAAAGGAAAAAATTTTCTTTTTCTTTTTTTATCTGTGTGAGATGATGGTAAATTTAATGTGGTAATTATTTCACTATATATAAATAAATTCATTATTCTGTACTTCTTAAACTTATACAGTGCCATCTGCCAATTGTATTTCAAAACTGAAGGGAAAAACACCCGCTGAGACCTTGGTTCCTGGTGGAAGAAGTTCGGCAGCCTGGGCGGAAAACTTCAGAAACTGGAGACAAAGGAGTCTTTTTCATTGACAGCGATAGCTTGTTATATAGGAATTCTTTCTCCCATATCTGGCAGAAATTCTGGCAGAGACCCTAACTCACAAGCTTGGAGCTTTTTCTTTGGGTCTAAATACTAGCAAGCATATTTATTAGTCTTGTTGTTTAAGGGTTATATTCCATGATAAACAGTGGAAAGTCAGTGAGTGATCGAGTCATTTCTCCTCTATAGGAGACAGAGCGGTCTAGCGGTGACCACAACAGGAAAATAAAATCTGGGTGCTCCCAGCCTCTGCTGACAGTTGAGCCTTCTCTGTGAGAGAAAACAACTTGTTAGTTCCTCTATTTATTCAGGAAAAGACTCTTTTTGTTTTTTTTAAGATTTTTTATTTATTTATTTGACAGACAGAGATCACAAGTAGGCAGAGAGGCAGGTGGGGGGGAGTGGGGGAGGGAAGCAGGCTCCCCGCTGAGCAGAAAGCCTGATGCGACTTGATTCCAGGACCCTGGGATCATGACCTGAGCTGAAGGCAGAGGCTTTAACCACTGAACCACCCAGGTGCCCCAGGAAAAGCCTTTTTGATAAGAGGACTAGAATGTTTTGTTCATTATTGTTTGGGGAAACTGAAGCAATGTATGTAATTCAAATACTTGTGTCTTGGTCTAGACAAGGGGTCCACAAACTTCTATTACAAACAGCCAGCTAGGAAATACTTTAGGGTTTGTGGGCCAACCAGAGTCTGTCACAACTACTCAGTTCTGCCCTATAGCGCAAAAACAGCCATACACAATGCGTAAACAAAGGAGAATGATTATGACCAGTCAAGCTATTTATGGACACTGAAAATGAATTTCATATATTTCTGGGTCATGAAAGACCCATGTTCTTCTTTTAATTTTTTCCAACCCCTTAAAAATGTCAAAACCATTTTAAGCTTGCTGTCCATACCAAAAACAGGATGCTTAAGGGGTGTTGTTTGCTGTCCCCTGGCCTACCAGTACAGGGTGAATGGATTTCAGCAGGAGGTTCACCCTCCGTGAGTGATAGTGGCTGCCTATAAAGCCAAGCTGGGAAGGATTCTGGATTTGTACCCACATTCTGTGCAAAGAGAGCTGTGATTCATTACTCAGATCAGCCATGGCCAGTGATAAGGGGGGGAGGTGACCCAAATTTGTAATGTTTCCTTTCCTCTACCTGGAACAAGATGGTTTTCTGAACTAAATAGAAGGACCACAATTCACTAACATAGATAATAAGTTAACGTGTAGAAGGATATAGGTGTTAGTTCATTATTAGTTTTTTCATGGCCAGGATATTGCCTTCTCTCATAAAATCTCCCTAAAACATAGTTATCCTTGTCAACCTCAATATCAGAAAAGTTAATTAAAACAAAAATGACTCTCAGGGAAACACTACAAATTACCAGATGCTCCCTACATATTCATGCTCTTTACCTAGCTCTGAAAGATTCACCTAGAATAGAGGTCAGCAAGGGTCAGACAGCCACAGAGACCTAATTAGATCATGTGACTCAGGCTTCATCGTGCACCCTAAAGTATATTTAAAAATATGCATTCAGGTTTTTTGTAGTCCAAAGAATTTCTTTTTTTTATTTTCTGTAGTCTAAAGACTATTTATTTCTAAAAATATATGCATGTAAGTGTATGGATGGCAATAGTAAAAAAAAAAAAAAGATCATTTTGCTAGATTGAGAAAATTATGAGTTTAAAGCTATTTTAAAGAGTTATTATTTTTCCAAATAAATGTTCTCTTTGATTTATATTTACATAAAGTCATCCAACTAACATTTACTTAACAATATATTACTAGCTTGTAAGATCAGAATATACCAGGATTGTTTACTCTGTCCTTCTTAAATAAGTTAATTAATTAAATTCGTTATAATTTTAGATAAAATATGGAAAAAACTGAAATTCAGATATTTTGTTAGGTTTTCAAAATTCTCTTTAATCTAAATTATTCCTGAATTCAGTATATTTTTTAAATTTCATTTGGTGGGTCCTGAATTTAAGGAGGACAATTTAAACCCTAGAGAGTCAAGTTTGATGCCATGACATCTGGTAATTCATGTTCTTCTCTTACTTTCCTTGTTTCCTGCATCTAAGAAGGTCAGAGATTCCAGTTCTACTCTGGAAAATAGCCACCATTTTTTTTTCTTGGTACAGAGAGATGGCCTTTCCAAGGAGGAGTGGGAAGAGAGAGAAAATGGCTGGGCTTCAGTTTTATTTATTTAGTTTTTATTTTTCAAACAATTAGAAAGGTAGATCCAGGACCTTTTGTTTTACTTATTTTTTTTTTTTTAATTTAAATTCAAGTTAGTTAACATATAGTGTAGTATTGGTCTCAGGGATAGAATTTAGTGATTCACCCAGTGGTCATCCCAACAAGTCGGACTTCAGTTTGAGCTAGGAATTGTGGAGAGACATGCAGGATCCTTACCTTCCAGTTCACAAAAGGGAACACGATTCCCAGAGAGAACAAACCCAGCATTGGTCCCCCGCACATGCCGTGGATGCTGAGAGCAGCCTGTGGAACAAGACAGATCAGATCAATGTGCCCACTCCCCCGAATCCATAGTCACCTGACATCACTTTCTCTCAGACACGGGATAAAATTTAGTCCTAATCCTGATGGTGGCACTCATTAATCATGTGGTTTCTGGAAGTCATTTTTCCCTCATGGGGAGATAAGCACTATGTATAATAAAAATACATACAAACATACATTTGTGTGTTTGTGTGGGTGGGTGTGGGTGTCTGGGTGTACGTACACACCAGTAATTTGGATTTGGTAGTAGTTTTCCCTTAAGGTGGAACTCACTGATTTGCTTACATTTTCTGTCTTACCAAAAAACTTCTTTTTGTAATGTATCAAATAAATATATCAATAATTTATGTTTCATATCTTACATGACTGACCACCTATTCTAGTTTAGTTTGAACAATTCTGTCATTTTGATCATAATAGGTTACCCCACTCCCACCATCCCACCCAGAATACCTCAAAGATGTTGAAGCATGAAGTTGGGACATGATGGGGAGGCCACTGGACACTCCCTATCTCATCTATCCTTTTTCATGGCTCTATTCTCATTGGAAATTGAGGGGGCTTGACAAATGCATTTCCATATCTCTTAGCCTCTGTTATTGAATTGGTAAGGAGCTGAATTGGTAAGGAGCTTTCATTAAACTAATTTGCTGTTGACCTGGAGCCTTTTCCATGGCCTTCCAAGAGTCTTTGACATGCACATGCACTGATATGCGTGCAAGTGTACAAATGTGTACAAGTGCCAAACATGTGTGCACAAACACACATAGCTAGCTATCCTGCAGTACAGCCCCTATCTTGCTGTCACAATGGAACTGTAGGGCTCTTAGATCAACAACTGAGAAGAGGATGTGCTAATGATCCTATATGTACCTTATGTTTGTCAAGCACCCCAATGTGCCAGACGGTTAAGAGGAACTACCAGGCACTCCAGATACATGACTTCATTTCATCCTCACAATTTTAGTAGGTACCATTAACTGAATTTTATAGATGAGAAAACTGTGCTGATGGAAAACATATTAAAGGCATAATTCCATTTAGAAAAAGAGAAAAGTCAGATTTAAGAGATGTAAGCTAAGTTTCTATGGTTGTAAAACCCACATTTTTCTCTCCTAAGGGCAGTCTACAGAGAAAAAAAAAGAAGAAGAAGAAGAAGTTAAGAACACAAGCCCTCATAATGGCCTCCTTCTCTTTTTTAAAGGAAAAAAGTTCTTGAAAGATCCCATCACTAATAGTCAGAATATTTGGATTCTAACAAGTTCTCAAATTTGGATTCTAACCCTGCTGCTCATTACTATGATTTGGTGAGCCTTCTGTTATTAATTCAGATACGTTCTATTTCCGAGTCTTCTTTATGAAAAATAGCCAGGACTGAGAGGCTGTCGAGTGCCCTCCAGTTGTAAGGTAAGTTCTTTTCTCTAGAAAAATGAGCTGCGATACATTGTTAGGTTTGTTTTCCGGGTTAATTTTTTATGAAGTCAGTGTCACAGATGGATCTTCACCAGGATGGAGGCAGATAAGGTTGAAGTTGATACTCTTCCCCAAACTCAATACTTAATTTAATATTGTTGACATTTCCTCTGTTGATTGATAACATGAATTACAGTTGCCATTGTTGCTGAATTTGGAAGCTAATTTACTAGCTATTATATGGGAGAATCAATAAGTTTAGGAAAGGCATTCATGTTCCCCAGAGGAGGAAAAAAACATTAATGATCTCTTATAAAGTCATCAACCAATATGTTTCTGCAAGAAACAGTCTTCATATGATAGAAAGAAAAAAAAATCCAACAGTTTCTGGCTTTTGAAAATATATATTTCTGTAATTTACACACCTAAATTAATTTTAATTTGTTTATCTTTCTTTTTGTTACTGTTCTTAAGCAGTTTCAGTTGGAGGAAGGCTTAAAGTTCATCCAACAGCTTTCTTTTCAGTGGGCAAATCTCACATAAGTCACTCCTGTAAGCAAGGGGTGATGGCTAAGAACATACACTTTGGGGCGGTTGCCTTGTTGTGCCTTAGCCTTCTCATATATCGAGTGGGGATCATAACTTAGCCTGCTTCCTGGGTTTTTTTGTGAGTATTCAATGTGGAATCTGAGAAAGGCCAGAATAGTGACTAAACACTCCAGAGTACATGTTATCTACTATTATTCTTTTTTTCTTTTTCTTTAGTTGTAATTTTAGTTCCAGTTAATTAGCATATAGTGTTGCATTTGTTTCAGGTGTTATCCACTATTATTATTATTACCTTCTTAAGTTTTTTATTACCTACCCCGTTACTGAGCTCTCTGATTCCTGGGACATGTCATTTGGTTGTTGGACTATCTGGGGACCCAGAAAGCACTTTCTTAAGTCAAGATAAGAACATGCATGGAAGTCATCATGGCCTTTGGTAGAACTAGATGATAATCATTAAGATAGAAGCATAATGGATAGAATGACCTTTCCCAAAAGGAGCTCTGCAAATCACCAGTTAAAGGGTGAACTTTGCTGCTATCTCCCCCTCCCCCTATTTCTGCCACCAACACCACCGCCCCCTGTTGTCCCCAACATATGGTCTATGGTCACATATTTAAAATGAAAAAGGGGATGCCTGGCTCATTTGGAAAAACATGCAACTCCTGAGCTCAGGGTCATGAGTTCAAGCCCCACATTGGATATAGAGATTACATAAATAAGTAAAACTTTAAAAAATAAAAATAAAAAATAAAGTAAAACAAGTTTCTTTGTTTTGGGACTTCCAAGGGCTTTCAATGTGCTAATATGGCTGTGGATTTCTGAGAGGAGAATGCAGTGTATAGCATTTCCCAAATGTCTTTGACATTGGAAACTTGCTTTCTTAGAGTATTTCATAGGTTGAAAGTCTCCAGAACACACTTTATAAAGCCCTAAACTAAAACAGTAAAAAGACCTTTGTTTAAGAAGATTAAAGCTGCCTGCCCCTAACACCACCCAAAACACCCACCATGAATATGGCAGAGCTTTGTGTACATGAAATTAAACCTAGCTCTATCCCTCACATCCATGAGATTAAGGCTTCATCCTTCCCATGTGTAAAACCTGAACATGAATGTCCCATTATATTCAAAATAGCAAAACTGTTTGCAAAATTAAATAGGGGAATTATTAGTGCCTTTCTGTACCAGTTAAATTAGACATATTCACAGAAAGGAGGCGGTTATCCTATAGACAATATCTCTTCTAGGAAACAAGAACTCAGAATTGTCATCTCTTGCCAGCCAGCATCTCCTAAATTGTGTGAACTGTGAGGTAAACATTTTACTTTATTTATTTATTTTTAAAGAATTTTTTTTTTGTTTAATTTCTTTGACACAGAGAGAGATAGTAGGCAGAGCAGTAGGGACAGAGAGAGGGGGAAGCAGACTCCCTGCTGAGCAGAGAGCCCGATGCGGGGCTCGATCCCAAGACCCTGAGATCATGACCTGAGCTGAAGACAGAGGCTTAACCCACTGAGCCACCCAGGCACCCCTAGGCAGCAAACATTTTAAACAATCCAGAAAGTGGACCCAGCAGATGAGGCAAGTGGGACAAGCAGATGAGAACTTTCACAATCTTTCCCACTTCACAGTAAGCCTTTTTGTACTGCTCTTGGAGGGATCCTTGCCTATGCTAAAGCCCTTCCTATCTCAATTGGAAGTAAGATTAAAATTCAAACACTTCTGCGAGACAACAATATAGTGATTCAAATTCTCACTAATTTCAACACGATGATACTTTCTTAATAGTAAATGTTGGGATAAGGGGAAGAAGCAATGGGGCCCAAGGCCTCAGAGTCAACTCAGAAATTTGGTCCCTGTGAATGCGTGGGTGGAAAGCTGGCTGCTGAGGTCACTCACACTGCCAGTTCTGTTGTGTGCACGAGCAAATAGCAAAGGACTGCAAAAACTGGGAAAAGATTATCATGCATCTGTGATGAAACAGTAAGTTCTGAGCTTACTGGAGAGGGCACCGGGTTTCCAGGCCCACAGTTTTTTATGTAGACAGCTGGATTATCGTGTCCCCAGTCTCCCAGAAGCTCAAAAGGGAAAGAACGGAAACTACATAAGTAGTCCTTGGAAGGATCAAGAAAGATGCATAGCTCTGCAAACTAAAATACATTCTATAAAAATCAGTGGTTTCTCCTCACACACCCTTCTTCACTTCGTTGAAGCAACATTTATTGAAAACATGTGCCATGCCAAGATAATACAAAAGATGTTGAAATGATGCAAAGATACAAGGGGGATGGAGAGGGCTGAAGTAGAATGTGAAAATGGGCTTATCTACTGTTGCTTTAAGAGGTGGGCGATTTGCAGAGGGAAGAGAGGAGGCTCGGGAGTCGAGGGCCATAAACTAAGCCACTGACTGGTGGGGAGAATCTGAGCAGGATATTTTCACTGTTCTCTATACTCATCTCCAAAAGGAAGATGCTGGAACCCATGATCCTTGAGGCTCCTTCTAGCATGGTCCTTTTATGGAAGTGGTAGTTGGACAGATGGGAGGCAGTTAGAGATGGGCTCATATGCCATCTCCCCTGCTCCTTAACTGTGCGACTCTGGGACAATCCTCTCACCTCTCTACTTCTTAGTTTCTTCATCTGTAATGTCAGTACATTAATCGTACTACCCTGAGAGAAGTGATTAAATGAAGTAATACATCTGGGACTGTACCTAGAACACAGTTAACTGTTTAATTAATAGAAATTATTCTTATTTTTTTGCTATTATAATTACCACTTCTACTTTTATTTCAGTCATATGGTCTCAGATCTGGATTTTTAAAAGGGTTTCTAATTTAATTATGGTGTACCATGTCACTGACTTCCAGTAGTGGTTTTTTAATAGTTTCCCCTTCTGAAAGTAATTTTGGTTAAAATTTTATATGTATGTTTCATTTGGACCTGGTTATCAGGGAGTCTCAGCAAATGGTGCTTGGAGGAACAGGCAAAGTTTCAGCAAAGAAAGTGGTAAGAACTGCTCTGAAATCAAAAGCGTCTTTTTTCTCTTTCATTACCTGCACAACGCCCCCCATGAGCGATGCAGCGACAGCCATGGAGGTGCACATCACGCCAAACAAGAGACCTGAAAGAAAGAAAACTCATGACCATCATCCAAGCTGGCTTTGAGGGATTTCTTGAGCTCCTGCCCATGACAGCCTCTGAGGCAAGCCCTTTTGGAAGGGATCTCAGTGAGAACTATCCTGGCCACTCAGCCATCACCAGCCCTGAGAGGGACATGTGGGAGACTTCGTTCCCAGTCAGGCAAAAGGAGCTAGAAGCCAGCCTCCAAAGTTTTTCTCTCCGGGATTCAAAAGGAGAGCCATCATGTGGATGCAACATGAAAATGTGGAAAAGGCACCAGCCTAGACTAATCCAGACCCAGTTAGTGGGAGGTACTTCCAGTTTGACCACTCATCAAAACGCAGCTGAGGAAGTTACTAACCTTTCTGGGACTCAGATAGTTCTTCATCTTTAAGATAGTTGAATATCTATATGCTTTACCTCATGCCATTTGAAACTCTGGAAAGTTTTTCTAATTTTTTCCTTTAGTGCTTTATTCTTACCACCCTTCTGGCCCTGAGTATATTGTGAAACAATTTATTTGTTTCCATATTTACATGGAAGAGCCCCAAGAGCCATCAGAGTACCAACCCTGAAGCATCTCACTCAAGGCCCCGAGGACCAAGGGAGCTCGCTGAGTGAAGAAGCAGACGTGTCTTAGTCGTCTTTTTAAGAAGATGAGTTCTTTTAAACCATCTTTAAAAAAAAAAAAAAATTGGTTTTGTACATCTTTATTTAAAAATCATCTTAAAACCTCATTCATTTCCCATTATAACCCCTAAACTAAATAAGAGAGGGAGAAAGAGACAAGGAGTTGGAGATATAGACAGAGATACAGTGACAGAAATGGAGAGAAAATTATTTTGTTTATTCTGTTTGAAACGATCTCCCAGCTAAATATCTCACTCAGTTCCCAACATGACCTGTTGTAGTGCGGAGTACTGACCATATGTCAGGCACTTTGCCAGTGCCAGAGTTTCCAAGTTAGCACCTGATTCCTTTCCTAAGGATCTCACATTCTAGGAATGGATTACATGTAAATAGTATATCCAGCAGTATCTGGTACCTAGAAAGTACTGTGTGTTTGCTGCTGCTGCTGCTGCTGTTGTTGTTATTATTATTATTATTATTATTACTGTATTTCAGGTTTGAATCATGATATTCATGATATTTATTATCAGGAACCCACTTTTAAAATGAAATTGTGCTGCCAATTTCCAATGCGATACTTTCCAACTTCTCAATGATCCAGAAAAATAAGGAAGCTCACAACACCCTAAAAACCAAGTTTGATCTATCAAAACATTTTGGGATTCTGAATTTGTTCTCATTATCCTTAAAGAGGGTAGATTGCATTGGAAAACAACAATGTTTGCCCTGACTCTGAACTGCTTCATGAATAAGGAGAACTCTGTGTACCTGAAAAAAATAACAAAAGACATGTTTTCTGTCTACTACTGACTTCCTTTCTGCTGGGCCAACAGTTATCTGTTCAAATGAAACTCTAGGCAGTCATCCCTCAATCCAGAGGTTCTAATTTTTTTGTGCTGACTAGAGAATGATTCATTCCCCTTCTCCCTCAAATATTACACTTCCACCAGATTACAATTAATAGCAACTGGTGAGGCAGGAAATTTAGGGGAAATTGGTGGGGGGTTCCGTAGATATCTGGAGAGTACGGCACCTCAAACAAAGCAGTAAATGTGGGAGGGATAGAAAGTTCAATGCTATGGATTTTCTAAATGTCACAATAGCTCAGAGGATCAGACAATAAACCATGGGCATAAACCAGCATATTTCTGAATATCTTAGAAATTGGGACTTGTGCTGGGAATAATGCCCATCCACCTGCTATTAGCATTAATCCATTGGGCAAGATAGTGAATAGAATTAAGGCAATTCACCTACCTAGTTAACAGACATGGTCAGCATTGATCTCTCCTTGTTCAAGCATAAGTAGAAAGAAAAAAGAAATGTGGGATCCATAGCAGAATATTGCCAAACAAAGGAATGAATATATTAACCTAAAAGCTCAATGCACAGTATGCTTTCTAGAAATAATTTACCTTGGGAAGCAGAAAAAAAAAGTATTTAGAAACTGTTTGGCAATTTTAATATGATGCAAAAACATACACTCAATGAAGCAAACAAATTCAGGTCAAGAGAAAGTAAGTGAGGTGGAAAATGATAAGATAGGGTGCGACACCAATAAATTTAGATGAAAATGGGTCCAAGTGGGCTAAGGAAGAACTATAAAAAAATTAAAAATGAAAATTGACAAAGCACTTCCACTCCTAAGTATTTACCAAATAGAAATGAAAATATATTCACAGAAAGACTTGTACAAGAGAACTCATAGCTCCTTTATTCATTATAAACTCAAACTGAAACACCCCAGGTCTATCAACAGAATTAGAAGTTTAAAAAACTGTGGTATATCCATACACTGTCATACTACTCAGAAATAAAAAGGGATGAACGACTGATATACAAACAACATAGATAAATCTCATAAGCCAAAACATGCTGAGTGAAAGGAGTCTTACCAAAAACAGCACGTACTGTGTGATTTCTTGTATATGACATCCTAGAACAGGTAAAACTAATCTATGATGGAAAATATCAGAATATTGCTTGTCCCGGGGCGGGGAGGGGGGGGATGTTGGTGGAGGGGATTGACTGTAATAAGCAAGAGAGAACTTGCCAAGGTAATGATAATTCTCATCTGTAGTGGTTGAGTTACAGTTATGTGCATTTGTCAAAACTCAACAAATGTGTACTTAACGTTTGTCTATTTTATTATAGGTAGATTTTACATAAGAATTTTTAAGCAAGTATTTAATTCTAGTTAATAATGTGTATGCTAAAATAATTAGGGGGAAGGGTACTGATGTCTGCAATTTACTTTTAAATGTATGAAATACAGGGGCTCCTGGGTGGCTCAGTGGGTTAAAGCCTCTGCCTTTGGCTCAGGTCACAATCCCAGGGTTCTGGGATCAAGCCCTGAATAGGCCTCTCTGCTCAGCAGGGAGCCTGCCTCCCCCTCCCTCTGCCTGCCTCTCTGCCTATTTGTGACCTCTGTCTGTCAAATAAATAAATAAAATATTTTAAAAAATAAATAAATGTATGAAATATATGATTTATTAATGGATGGATAAGGAGCTGGATGGATATATGAAAAAGCAAGATTAGGACAATATTAATGGAGAATCTAGGGGATATATATATATATATATATATATATACACACATATATATATATGTATATATATATTTATGGTAAATGTCTTTAAATTTTGCTGTAAGATTGAATTTATATAATAAAATGTAAGGAACAAAATATAATCCCAGAATTAAAATCATTATTGTTAAGAAATTTACTTTGTGGAGAACTCAAAGTAACATCGAGAGAAAACTTGAGTTCTTCAAGTGTGCAGAGAAAAAGAACAAAGTTGTGAAAATAAAAGAGTAAATAAAGCATATGGAGAACTAACAATCCAAATTGGAAAAACATTTAAGAATAAGAAGATAATAAAACTCAGTATTTTCAGACACTTACTAGAAAACCAGTTAGAATTCTGAGAACCAACAAGGGCTGGGTAAATGGCCAGATCTGTGCTCTCTACAAAACAAAGGAGAAACTATAGGTTTTCCACTTTGATGATTAATGGTTTGGAAGATACTATGGAGAAAGCATCCCATTCATAATGTCAAAGAAAAAAGAAAGAAAAAGGAAAAGTAGAAGAAGGGCAAGGAGGAAAAGCTGAAGGAGGAAGATGTGGGTGTAATTAACATCTAGGATAGAAAACACGAAACTACTAAGTAGAAAAATGCCATTGCTAGATAGAAAGCTTATGAAGATGTTAACTCTTCCTGCAAAACATTTTTAGATTTAATGCAGTCCCGTTGGGATGGAAGTACGACTAGATGACATACAGTAAAGTATTTTAAAGTCAATCTAAAGCATAAATAAACATGTATAAACCAAAGTTTGATTTTGCAGGAAAAAAAGTAAAGAAAAGCAACAATAGAAAAAAATTAATTTTAAACTAAAAGAAAAGTGATAAGATTTCCTCTAGCATATATATTAAATAAAACACTATAAAACTATAATATAGGGGCACCTGGGTGGCTCAGTGGGTTAAAGCCTCTGCCTTTGGCTCAGGTCATGATCCCAGGGTCCTGGGATCGAGCCCCGAGTCGGACTCTCTGCTCCGCAGGGAGCCTGCTTCCTCCCCTGTCTCTCTCTGCCTGCCTCTCTGCCTACTTGTGATCTCTCTCTCTCTCTCAAATAAATAAAATCTTTAAAAAAAAAAAACAACTATAATGTACAAGATGGTATTCATCCTACAATTGATAATTTAATTAAATGAAAATAATCTATATGATCCTTAAACAAATCCTTACAGATGAAAGAATCTTATATTGTATATTATCATTACTGAAATATTAACTACTAGTGGAGATTATTGGATTAATGATACTTAGAAAATTGGCCATATAATTGAAAAATCAATTTAGGTCCTCATCATAAATCATAGATCAAATAATTTGAATACATTTAATATTAAATGTGAAATATAAAATTATTTACAATCCAGAAAAAAATAAGGAAATTTATAAGTGGGTTTTGAATGGGAAGAAATATGTAAGCATAAAAAAATGGATAAAATAGTAAAAGAAATGATACATATATTTGACCAAATATGTATTTATGATTTCTGTACATCAAAAATGTATTTTAAAAAATCTGGGGGATATTCTACAACATACAAAGGTCACATTTCCTTTATACATGAAGAGATTTCACAGACAAAATTTCTGATATCTCATCAACAAATGGCATAGATTCTTCACAAAAAATATAAATGTTATTCATCATCCAAAAAATGTTCAAATTCACTATAAATAAAAAAATGTAAATTAAAGCAAAAAATGTGATGTCATCTTGTCCATGAATTTGACCAATTTTTAAAAATACTAAGGTAAATGTGCAGGCTCCACCCCACAACCCTGAGATCATAACCTGAGCCAAAATCAGGAGTCACATGTGTAATTGACTGAGCCACCCACATGCCCTTAAATTTATAATTTAAAAAGGAAATTTGTTTTTCCTTCAACTTTAATTTTTTTGTGATTATCATTTTATCTACTCGTTCTATGTGTATATCTTCTATGAATTTGGCACCATGAGGTATAGTTTGGAGAATACAAAGAGATTGAAAAACATAGCAAATGACCCTAACCTCAATATATTATATGGGGGAAAAAGCATAAATATGTCAAGTCAGTAAAAACAACTCAAAACAGCAAATGAATAAGTGGAAGACAGTGTGCAACACACATTCTGCAGCACTTTGGAACAAAGAAAAGCTAATTCCATGAAAGTAAAGTTAGTTTCTTTAGTCAAACACATTTGTGTGCAGACATTACACCAAATACTGTGACCGCAAACAAGCGAGAGATAAAATCCTGAAGATCTAGAGCTATGCTGTCCACTAGAGTAACCCCTCGCTAAGTGTAGAGCACTTGGAATGTGGTCAGTGCAAATTGAGATGTGTTGTAAGCATAAAATACACTAAATTTTGATGGTATGGACAAAATGTAAAATATGTTATTAATTTTTATATTGAGTACATTTTTAAAATTTTGAGTGCATGAAATGACAATGTTTTGGGCATATTGTGTTAAATAAAATATATGACTAAAATTAAAAAAAAAAAAATACTAAGGTAAAGGGCACAGAGAAATATGTCACCACTCACTGCTGCCACATGTAAATATTATTAATTGGACCATGTTAGAAATATTTTTCAAAATATAAATCCAGAATTGTCAATGAATTTGTGTTATTTGACCTGGTAATTTTTTTGGAGGTTTTTTACTTAGGAAAAAAGTTACAGATCCAACAAAGATTAATGTATATGGGTATCATCATGATGTTACAAAATATTGAAAAAAGATTCTAAAAAGTAACAACATAAAAATAAAAAAGTAAGCCATTTCGTAGACTATCAAGCACACATTCAAAAACCATGTGTTCAAATACTGTATAAATGACACAGGAAAATGCTTGGTATACTATCCTAGGAGGTACATATATTTTCTCCAATTACCTACATTTTTTGTAATAAGTGAATGAGCATATAATCTGTTTATACTTAAAAAGAAGTAAACTCTGTAAAACTACAGTTCAATATGATAAGTGCATCAACATAATATGCAACAGTGTGATTAAGCAAGGAGAAATTACTCCTTGAAGTGAGGTCACCAGAAGTTGGGTAATAAAAAAAAAATTCTCTAGAAAAGAGTTTGACATCATGTATAAACTTGTCAAACCACCACGATACTTGAAGCTAATATAACCCTGTGTGTCAACTGTACTAAACATAAGTACGTAAGTAAATAAATAAAAATTATAAATAATAAAAAGAAAGAAAAGGAATAATCTGATTTTATTAGACAAAGTGACTGACCCACAGAGAGCGAACATCTCTCCATGTAGAGGGATGAAAATACGGTCAAAAGAAGGCATAAGCAGGAGATGTTGAAGTGACAAATCTAGAGTGTGAGGTAAGGACAGAAGAGTGTCAAATGGAAGGTTGGTGAAAGGTAAGCTAGCTGGTAATTCTTTCCTGTTACCCTCCTGACAGGTTTGGAAGTGTGAATCCTTCTGTACAATTCCTCACATGCTCAGGGTGCATTTGGGCCTGGAGTCCTGAAAAGCATGTACCACATGCACATTTCATGACAAGGAGCAGAAGGTGCCCCGGCTGTACCTACATAAGCCTTTACTGATCCAGGTGCTCAGCTTGTCGGAGAGATGGGGGAAACAGCTCTTGACAAAATCCTCAAAGGTCACTGTTGCTAAGGCATTGATGCTGGCAGCCACGGTGCTACAGGGAGAGAAAAGCAAGAACATAGTCCAAGCTAAATAAAGCTGACCAGCTGCCCTGTCATTCAGGGCAAATAGACAAGGCAGGGCTCAAGAAACAAAAACTAGGTGCAGACATATTGTCCTTATTCTGGGACTTCAGGAGAGTTATGTGGCCGCCTACTCACTCCTCAAAGCTGCCTCTGTGCTTTGTGCTCTTTGATTTCTTCAGACTCTAGTGAAGAAGCTTGACGTTCATGCTCTAATACCTACTAGTGCCCCTGAACAAGACATTAAATGAATTGGCAGGCAGTAATGGGTTGTGCGTGTATGTGTGTGTGTTTAGGTTGAACTTGAGGCTGGAGGCAGTGACTGTTCTAATCCAGGAATCAGTAGAGTTTGCCACTTACCATTCACTCATTCATTCATTCATTCATTCATACCATGAATGCATGTCTTCATTCTAGGTACCAGACATACAATGGTGAACAAGAAACGTGTAGACCTTACACTTGGCAACACAGACATTCAACAACCACTTACACAATTGATCACAGTTGTTCGGAAGGAAAATAACAAGGTGCTATAAAAGTATGCCTTGCAGAGTCCTAAACTAATATGAAGTTAGGGGATTCTTCCCTTAGGAAATGATGATTAAGATAGGCACTGAAAGAACCCATGCAAATTGGGGGAAAAAAGATGTTCTAGAGCAAAACAACAATTACTTTTAAATGCCTCTAGCTGGAAAGGTTATTGCATTCAGCAATCTTAAACCACCCCAGGCTTAGAATGCAGTCAGTAAAGGAGAACAGAGCAAAAGATAGGATGGAAGATGGACGAAGAAAAAAACTACATAAAAGATTTGATATTCTCTCTGACTTTTCAACCACAGTCCAGTCTTATGGCCCTAAAACTCACTTTGATGACAGAGGACCTGAAAGTTGGGTTTTCTTTTCAGAATAGAATGAAAGCTTATTTAATTCCTCATATAGACCAGGAATATTTTAGTTAGTAGAATAGATAACAGTATTAAATTCATGTGAAGCAAAATCGCAACCACAAAGAAAAGTTCTGGAAAAGAAACAAGCTGATGAACAAAACCTGGCCAGTTGTTTGTAAATTTCCCACTGATATTCAGTGGCTAATTGTTTTATTACCCTCCAGGGGTCATCTGAAGACAAACTAGCTGTTGGCAACAGCATGGAAGAAAATCCAAACTTTTTCTTTTTCTGTAATGCAGCATAATTTCAGCTGTAGTTTATTTTAGTTGGAATAGTTTCAGGTCCTTCGTATGCAAAATTAAAAGTTCCTTCCTTAAGTGCCAGTTACAGCAAGTAGAAATTTCCCAAGACCCAGTTCTAGGGAATTGAAACTGTAAGTACTTTGAGATACCATTCTCTTTTTCCTGAGAATCAGTGCATAGTGTGTGTTTCCTGCCAGACTCCCCTTCTACCTACAGCTCCATGAAAGTCAAATAAGGAAAGGTGTCCAAGTAAAAAGAGTCCATATTCCCAACAGCTTTGTCTCAAAATGTATCATCTAGAAGTCTCACATGTTCAGGTTGACCCTTAAATCCTTTGAAAGAATGGAAGGAAAACACTGAGTTTGGCCTATATAGAAACTCTACTGGGTTGCCTTTTTAGTCAGGTATATTAGCCATATGCCGATTTCTCAGATTCTAAAACTTCTGTAAGATGGTAGAGATCTCTCTTTAATTTTTCCTATCTCTCTACCACTCTCTCTTTATTGTATCCCCATTCCTGTCTTTTCCTTTCTAAACTCAACATCTGATGTAAAGTTGTAGCAGAAGGAATGTCCCAAAGCATGTACTGTCCACTGTGTCCCTTTCTTAGAAGTTTTGGACTTGAGACCAAAAGATCCATCCATTTGCTTATGGGGAGATTATCTGTTGACAACTGCATGTTCTGTATCTAGAGAGACTTAGCCTTAGAGAAAAAAAAAAAAAAGTAGATAAATAAGTAAAGCTCTATAGAGAGGGGCAAAATAAAAGCTAGAATGCCACCACTCCTTGAGGTTAATCCTTTGGTGCTCATTTTTTTTGTCCTGAGTTTCCCTGAGATCTTAATCTCAACACCACAGAATAATACCACTTTGTGTTAGTGAAGCAAAATCCTAAAAAGAATGTTAGCAAAAATAATTCAGTAGTACACTAAGCTAGAATTACAGCAGAAGCAAGTTAAAGTCATTATACAAGTTCAAGGATATTGCTAATTTGAAAATCTGGCAACATATTAATATGCCAAAAGTTTACAAAATAGCCACTTCAAAAATGCCAAAAACTTAATGAAAGTCAATATCTCTGACAAAATCTTTCCTAAAAGTAGAATAAGCATATGTGTTTTGTTCTTTTTTAAAATTTGTTAACTTAAAGGCATACTTTTTTAAATAGAAAAAGATTTATTTATTTACTTTAGAGAGAGAGAGAGAGTGAGAGCATAAGCAGGAGGGGCAGGGAAGAGAGAGAGAATCTCATGCTGACTCTGTGCTAAGTGCACAGCCCAAGACAAGGCTCCATCTCAGGACTCTGAGATCACAACCTGAGCCAAAACCAACGGTGGGACACTTAACCAAGTGAGCCACCCAGGTTCCCCTTAAATAAGTATTCTTAGATGTAAATAATATCTTTCAAATTAAAACTTGATATCACAGTTAATGGTAAAATCCAAGAGTCATTTACTCCTTTTCTCCTCACAAAAGCATGCCCTACCACTTATAGTCTACTGCAGACCCATCAGGAAGAGAGGGACTTGGCCTTGCACAGGCTTGACCTTGCACTTGGTTACTGCTCTATCTCAGCCAGAAGGGAAGTGTCTCTTTCCCCTCAGCAACCACTCAGCCAATGAAAAGCCACCACGCTTCGAACTCCCGGTTTTCTCTAACTGGTCTTTCAGTCCATACCAGCCTTCCGGACTTACTCCTTTCCTCCTCAAAAAAAGCAGACCTCTCCTTTGTTCCCCACACTTGCTTATGGTTTTGCCTCAGCTTACTTGTCCCATATTTCCATTCTCTCTTATTCCCCAATAAACCCATCTTTTGCTGGTAAGATAGTTGGGGGGAGGGGTTATTTTTAAGGTTAACGCTTCTAATGCTTTCCCATTGATCTTCAAATCCAAAGCACTTCATGAAGTTTCACAAGTACAGTTTCAGTCTCATACAACGAAGGAGAACATGCAAATGAAGGGTTCAGCAGGGCAGCAGACACACAACATGCAGTAAGTGGTGATTACAACCGCCATCACCCTTGTCACCTCACTGTGCTTGCCATCACCACCGTCATCATCCTCTGCATCGTCAGAGCAGAGTGTTGTCTAAATACTAACCTCAGAGTTCCACTGAAGGCACAAGCCACGAAGAGTCCAGGCAGTCCTGGCATCGTGGAAAATACCTCCATGACAAAGTATGGCATCAGCTGAAGGGAAGGTAAGACAAGACAGGATCAGTGGTCTTAGCAGAAGAGTCTCAAATGTGAACATATCACTTTTTAGCAAAAGGAGCTGGGAAAAAAGACCAAAAAAAAAAAAAATACTAGAGGAGTTTGTGGGGACTCAGCATGTCACCCAATGGCAGTTGAGATTACAATTAATCCAACTTTGTGGAGCTGAGGTCCAGCTCCAACTGGAGGGGAGGTGAAGGGTGGGAAGGGAAAGCTAATATTAGGGAAAAGGGTTGGATGAACTTCAGAAGGTTCAGGAACTTGTTTTATTTTTCCCATGTTTGTAATACACGCCAATCCCTTGCCTGTCTACCCTTAATGTTAGCAGTTAAATCCTAACAACAAAGGCTTAAAACACATATTCAGGGAATCTAGGAATTATGGTTCTACTCTGTAGTCAGATTTGTGAGAGAGGAACCACCCCCCCCCCCCGGGACATAGGGGACAGTGGAATATGCAGAAGGGAGAGAGGTGATGGTTCTTCTTCTCCATAAATGGAGTTTTTGAAAACACTTTTAATGTAGTACTTTGGGGTGATGGTGTTTAAGTTATGATGAGAAGGCTTGAGCAGAAGCTCTATAGAAATAAGGGTCATTCTTCAATTTGAGAAGAAAGCATCTTTAATCAACCTTGAGACATACAGAAAAAAAGAATTGAAATGTCACATCAGCAACCAAAGCTATGGGTTCAAGCCTAACTTCCACTCTCCTCAGCCTTGCCCTGGCCCCTGGCCTTTCCTTCATGGACAAGGTGAGACATCTTTTTATGTGTCACTCCTCCATTTAGAACCTGGTGTGTGGTGATGTCACTCAAGAGGAGAGGAAAGAATTCAACTCTCTAGGGGTTAGAAAGTGGCTTGAGATTCAAGTGGGATAAAAGGGAAGAACCCATATTACTCACTCATGGCCAGAAGCACACTCATCTCAGCCGTTCCCCACTGGTTCCAAGGGAACACATACCTGGTCTGGTGCTGAGATAATGCCAGAAGTCCAAGGGTCACAATCTCTGAAGTGGGAGTACATGATTAAGCCAGAGAAGACAGCACACACCAGAATGATCCAGAGACCCAACAAGTTAAAATACAAGGCTCTAGAAAAGAACAAAAAGCTCTGTTGGTAGCCTCTATGCCATATTACAGTATGATGATGACATTACCAAAAATTCAAGGAAAAAATTTGGGGGGATTTTTGATAAAAAATAAAATTCCACAGTCTTCAAGAATCATTACATTTTATACATTTGCAAATTTTTGTTTGATTGGGAATGTTATACTTTAGACTGATTAATAAATTTCAATGAGGCAAATTTTTGAGGGCTTTCCTTTTGAAATCAGGAGTTTTTCTGCAAAATCTCAACATGTGGTGTAAGATCTATTCTCTTGGATGAAATTTCACATACCGATCACTCATATTATATAACTTACAGTGATTTCCCCCCCACTCAATTCATAAAACTGTCAAAAAGCAAACTTACATTTTAACATCTTTTCTTCCAGAGGGATAATGAGATAAATGTAGAAATAGACACATTTTGGAAATAATCACTTTGGAGATTGATTTAGATGAAATTTAAAGTTGAACTTCTTTTTTTTTTTTAAAGAGGATAGAAAATATGCAAAACCTGAGGTCATTTTACCATATTCTGGGGAGCAATTCTTTTTATTTGTACAATAAAGATATGCTTCATTCCAGTTTGAGTGCTTTGGCAGTATCCTATGGTTATTTTGTATTCATTGTTGTGTTTGAAAATCAAAAATATTACTAGTTCTTGGGGTTTTTTTTGTAAGGGCCTCTCTAGCCAGAGTGATTCCATCTCAGTTAAACAGTGATTTTGTTGGTTATGCAGTAAAACTTAAACTGACTCTGCCCCCACCCCTCCACCCCACCCCCCGCCAGGGGAATGTACTTAAAAGCAAGTCTGGGGGGCACCTGGGTGGCTCAGTGGTTAAAGCCTCTGTCTTCGGCTCAGGTCATGATTCCAGGGTCCTGGGATCGAGCCTCACATCGGGCTCTCTGCTCAGCAGGGAGCCTGCCTCCTCCTCCTCTCTCTCTATGCCTTCCTCTCTGCCTACTTGTGATCTGTCAAATAAATAAAAAAAAAAAAAAAAAAAAAAAAAAAAGCAAGTCTGGGAGACAAGGACAAGTAAGGCCAGGTGGAGACATCCAATCAGTAAAGCGCACATACTATTTCCCTAACTACCAAAGAATGTGGGCCCCGCATTTTGGGCACCAATTCTGACCAAGGTGATAGGCTAGTTCAAATAGCTACTATAGGGTGAATTGTAATTCAATTGGCCACCCGTGTGTGACCTAGCATGACTATGCAACTTTCTCTGTGTGTTACAATCTCATTGGCCACCTGTGTGTGGCTCAACCACATGGCCTTTGCTCTATAAAAGTTAGTCTGTGAGGCTGGGGGTGGTTCGCCTCTCTGTAAGAGGTGGCCCTGAACAGTCGGTTTGATTCTCGATGCTTGGTGAGAAATAAAGCTTTGCTTGACCTTTGCTTTGTATCAGTCTTGCTCCTTTGATCATAGACCCTAATATTTTGAAAGATTTTATTTATTTACTTAGAGAAAGAGAGAGCACCAGTGGGAGGCAGAGGAAGAAGAAAAGAGAAAATCCCAAGCAGGCTCCATGCCCAGAGCAGAGCTCAACGAGGGGCTCGATCTTACAACCTTGAGACCATGACCTGAGCTGAAATCAAAATCCAGACACTTAACCGACTAAGCCACCCAGCTGCCCCATTAGTTTTCTTAATCTCAAGGAAGACTTGAAAGTGGGCTGGATTTATATAAACCACTTTATTCTAGAGAAAGTTTCAAAGGGCCAGAAGAGGAACAGTGGGAATTTTCTTGGATCAAGTCATTATTTGAAGGGAATCAGATACATCCACACTTAAATGTAAGGACACAAAATAATTTCAAAGCCTCTGAAAGCCCATACTGTACAGGTGTACCTAGCTTTCAGAAAACCCTGGAGTCAAACTACCGATTTATGAAGCAAATCTGTTTAAATGAATCTCTCCTTTGGAAGTTTATATTTCATACTATTTACATTAGAAAAGGGACTTATCCTAGAAGTTACTTCCTTAAGAATATTCTAACAATGTTTCTTGCAGAGCTGTATTGATTTATTTGTTTTTATTTAGAGGGGTTGATTTAGAGATAGCCTTTTGGGGATACAATTAATACGTGAGGAGGTCAATACCTATTAACTGCATTGTTTGTACTCTTGCTGTCCTCCTTTCTGGGCAACTTTATTCAAACCTTTACTCAGGCCACGTCTGAGAGAGCCCTCCCTGACCATCCTTTATTCAAAACAGTCCATCTCTGCTCTCTTAATCAGTTTCTATTTCTTATATTATTTTACACCTTGACAGCACTTAGGATTATCTGAAATTGTAAAATATATACACTTGTTTTTTATTAGTTTCCCCCACTCCAACAAACACAGTGTTACAGAATTGTTCTGGCACATAGAAGACATGGAATTATTTATTTTTGGTAATAAATAATTGAATGACTGAATTAATTAGTAGTAGAAATTCAGTACAATATGATTGTACTCCTCATATCACTTATTTCTTTAAAAGAATGTTGGACCGTGAGTCAAAAGACTTTATCCTTAACAACCATCTGATGTTAAATAGGTCATGTGACACTCTGAGAGTGTTAACACACCTGCTCTCCTTCTATTATGGGACTAATGTGAAGAATGAATGAGTTACATTCTGTAGAGACATAGGTTATATGGCCATACATGCATACATTATCCAAAATAATTTCAAGTTATTGAAATGGGAAATGAGAAACCAATGGCAAAATTGTATTGAATGTTAAAATCCTTGTGCTGTGAATTTTTCCTTAGAAATGGACTTTGAGGAGCACCTGGGTGGCTCAGTTGTTAAGCGCCTGCCTTCGGCTCAGGTCATGATCCCAGAGTCCTGGGATCTAGCCCCACATCGGGCTCCCTGCTCAGTGGGAAGCCTGCTTCTCCCTCTTCCATCCCCCCTGCTTGTGTTCCTTCTCTCACTATCTCTCTCTCTCTCTCTGTCAAATAAATAAATAAATAAAATCTTAAAAAAAAGGAATGGACTTTGATTCTTTCCAGAGCTAATTCTCCTACTTGTAAGTTAAATTACTTCATTGATTCATTCAAAAAATATTTATCAGGCATCTCTTTATACCAGGCTTTTCTAGGTCCTGGGGTAGAGCTGTGAGCAACACAGAACCCCTCCTCATGGAGCTTAAATTCTGGGATTGGAAGCAGATCATCACTGAAATGAAATTAACGAATACAATGATTTTAGATGTGAATGAGGAAAATAAACTGAGGCAGTAGGAATAGAACAAAAGTGACTGGTGTGGGTGTGCTCATCTTAGCCAGAAGATGGGCTAGAGATGGGAAAGGACAGAAAAATCTGTATCAGCCCCTTCTACCTTCCTTGCACCACTTATGATCAGCAATTTTGAAAGATAAACTTGGGTCTAGAAACAAGAGGAGATGAAGTCAGGTTCCAAGGAACACATCTAAAATGACATGGTGGGTGATATTATTTCTGGGTGTGAGGAAGGTCAATAGGGCTTAACATCAATCCGTGATGTGAGTAATGAGTGAGTAAGTAATCAGCATTCCTGACCAGGAAATTATATGCATATATAACGAGTTGCTTCTGGTTTTAACCCATGGACTCGTTCAGTATGAACGTTATGGATCTATTTTCACCTACATATGTTTCAGGTTGTATTTTTCCCAAGTAGCATAGCTTTTCCTAAACTCTGATGGAATGTTTTAATGACACCAGGCTCTCAGATAATTGAACGGAAGCAGAGCATTTAATCAACATTCTACAGAGCCTCCTAGGTGAGAGCAGATTGGCAGCTGGCTCCCGAGTGGCCTCCAGCTGCCCCAGTAGTGACCTTGAGACTTCAGCTGTGTGACAAATGACACATTCCCACTGCAGGCTTCCTTCCAGCTGCATGCAGTTCAACCGGACTGATCATTTTGACTGATTTCTATTGTAGTAACCAAATCTATTTGGATTCTCTCAGAGAAGTCTGTTCTAAAGAGAATTTTTATTTTTCCATCTTTCCTTATTCTCACAAAACTCCTGTCATAGCTCTGGTCCTTCCACAGAAGTGGAGATGGGTGATACCAGGAGCTGCAATCCTAAATGCTTAGGAAATTGTGTACATTTTTTCTCCATGAATATCTTTCCTTTTCCAACAGGTTTCATAGCCAGTAAAATCTCGTGCAATAAATTCCAAACTCCAGGCAAACATTATAAATGTAATTGTATCAACTTTTGCTTGATTTAAATGAACTCACTCAATGATGCTTAAAGATACACAAACACAAGCACACACTCGAGAGTACACACTACTACTTATTGGAGTTATAGGGAGAAATTAGGCATGTTCACAAGAAAAAATAATATAACACAATACATAAGATTAAAAACAATCTAGATATAGTAGAGAATTATTGGTTATTTCACAAAAATATCCTTCCTTTTGGAGATACAATCAACTTCATTTTAAGGTAGAATTTTATTTTATTTTTTTAAAGATTTTATTTAGTTATTTGACAGAGAGAGAGATCACAAGTAGGCAGAGAGGCAGGCAGAGAGAGAGGGGGAAGCAGGCTCCCCGCCGAGCAGAGAGCCCAATGCGGGACTTGATCCCAGGACCCTGAGATCATGACCTGAGCCAAAGGCAGAGGCTTTAATCCACTGAGCCACCCAGGTGCCCCTTAAGGCAAAATTTTAAATGAATTTTAGTTATACCTATTTATTTTTTTTAAAGTAGGCTCTACACCCAATGTGAGGCTTGAACTTACAACCCCAAGATCAAGAGTCCCTGTTCTACCAACTGAGCCAGCCAAGAGCCTCTAAATGAACTTTAATTTTAAATGAATTGTGAGATCCAAATCACACTTGATATTAATTACATTTTCAACAATTTAGCTATTTGATACAAAGTGATAATCTTGTATGGAGGGTATGTTAACATTATTTAATATAATAGGATATAAATATGTTATCAGCAAATTAATGGAATACTAGATAATGCCTTCAATTCTTCCTTCTGTGAGTGTATGAAATACATAAGTAATATAGTCTCTTGGAATTCAGGTTATAAAACGGTGAACCATGTCCCAGCAAAGTTATCTTCTATTCAGTCTAAATAAAAAAACTATGCATTGAAAGTATTTTAAAATCAGTTGGGGAAATATTCACAGTGGCTGTTTCTCACTTGAAGAAAAGTTGAGAACATCCTGACAAATCTGGGGATGCTGGAAATTTGGACAGAACAATGGGGATAAGATGTCCATTTTAGATGCAAGTCTAGCTTATTTCTGTCATGTCTGCAGAATAATGCATGACTTTCTCCAATCCCCACTCTAGGGCACGGGATGCATTGCATGACTTGGAAGAGGCTTCCCAAGCTGTATCCTTGCTGGGGTCTTTCAGTGCGAGCACACCTGGCAAGACTGGTGACTGCTAGATCAGCAAGAGCTGGATTGGCAAAAGCCCCATTATGACTTGTCTTCTTACCTTGGCTTTCCTTCTTTTAAACCTCTTCTTGGAAAATTTAAGGATATATCCATCAAAAGAAAAACAGTAGCTCAAGAGACCACAGGCTGAATCAAGTCAGTCATAAGGACCATCTCATCACAGAAACTCTAAGGAGGCAAAATATGCTATTTACCTGTGCATTGCCACGCAGGGCACCTAATTTCACCTAGTAAGTTCTCAGTAAGTGCAGGCGGCAAATGGTGGAGAGCAAAGGCAGGCAGAACTGTAAATTCAAACACACTTCCTTGCTGAGATGGGATTAGTAATGCCTGCCTCAAAAAACTGTTTAGAAGATTAAATAAAACTTTCCATTTCTCTTTCTCTCTCTCTCTCTCTCACACACACACACACAGAAGCATATATTAAGTACCCACTAGGGCAAAGAAAACTGAAATGTTTATTTATAACTTACAGTTTTGCATGTTTTTCTGTTTTGCAAGAGATGCATCGCTGTATGGTGGACTGATTAACTCCATAGATCCCGAGCCAGGTGAAAGTTCCTCCCACTGAGATTGTCCAAAAAGTGTGCCGCCTGAGAGGATCTACATCAAAGCTAGGAGGCAGAGAGACGTGAGTGAACAAAAATGTTCTTTTGATGCCCAAATATTATTTTAGTCACTGAGGTCATACAGCTAAATCTTTATAAAATATGGGAAAGTAGTATTGGACATACTCAAATATATTTAGTCGAGATCCATTTGTCGAGTGCTCTATGACATTGTGCAATCCACCAGCATGAGCTGATCCTTGAATGAGAACTGTTAAGAAGCCCACAATCATGACAACCATCTGAAATGCATCTGTCCACACCACTGCTTTTAATCCTCCCTGAAATGGAGAGAATGGATGTGAATTCTCAGAAAGGAAGGCTGTAAATCTTCCAATTTTTTACAACTTTTCTGCTAATGCAATATTTCTTTTCCTTTTGTTCCTCCCTCGTCTTCCTTCCTCCCTTCCTTCCTTCCTCTCACCCACCCTCCCTCCCTCCTTCCCTATCTCCCTCCCTTTATTTTTTCTTTCTCTAGCCATGTTATGAAGAATGAGGGGGAATTTACCAGGTATGGAGGACAAGAGGAGAGGGGAACAACATGTGTGAAAGATGAAGATGTACGGCTCCCCGGAGAAATGAAAGAATGCTAGAATATGTAGATTGAGGTATTTACAGAATGCCCAAAGGGAGGTTGCTGAATTTGCTAGAGGCCAGAACACCCAGATTTTGACAAGGCTACTTAAATGATTTCTCAAGAGCAATGAGAGAGCATTAAAGAGATTTACATGATGAGAGATTTTTACGTTTGCTTCTCAGGGGTTTCAGGGGTGTTTGTGTGGATAACAGATGGGTGGACCAAGGAAAAAAAGGAGTGATAGAGACACTTGGAGTTGATTTCAGTAGTCTGTGCCCAAGAGGACAGAGGTTTGAAGAAGGTTTGCAGCAGGGTAGAGATGGAAAGACATGGATGGACTTGAAAGAAAACTGGAAGGTCAAATCCACACAACTTGTGAATAATTGAATACAGATGATGAGGAAGTGGGGGAATTAAGGATAATTATCTGGGTCCAGCTTATACAAACATGAGGATTTTTTTTTGTAAATTTAGTGATAACAAATAAATTTGGGAGGACTGAGATGGTAGAATACTGAGAAAGAAGAAAAGAACTAGGGCGCCTGGGTGGCTCAGTGGGTTAAGCCGCTGCCTTCGGCTCAGGTCATGATCTCAGGGTCCTGGGATCAAGTCCCGCGTCGGGCTCTCTGCTCAGCAGGGAGCCTGCTTCCCTCTCTCTCTCTCTGCCTGCCTCTCTGTCTACTTGTGATCTCTCTCTGTCAAATAAACAAATAAAATCTTTAAAAAAAAAAAAAAAGAAGAAAAGAACTAGGAAAGAATGATAGATTCTAGACACTGATGTAGAAAGGAGTTTTAAGAGCTGGAGGATGGTCGAAGAGTGAAGTGAGCAAGGCAGACTTTGCGGAGGATAAATCTCACAGCAGAACTCAGAACAGAGCAATGAGGCAAGAGGTTAGCGTGCTGGTTATCAAAACTGGATCCTCTGTAGAATCCCTTGGGGAATTTGAAAACAAACAAAACACAGATGCCAGTGTCCTAGCACCAACCCCAAGGATTTCTGAATAAATTGAGGTCTGGGTTGGGACTCAGTCGTATATATTTTCTGAAAGCTCTCACAAGGATTCTAATGCACAATTCTAGTTGAGAGCACGTGGGCAAGAGGAGAGGAAGCAAGAAAGTCTGTCAGAGTAATCCAGGTATAGAATCCCTCAGGAGTACAGTGAGGTGGAATGAGCAAATTGGGAAAGATGAAACAAAGAGATATTAAAAAGGGGGGGGCTTTGAAAATGAATAAGCACTATGAGAATGGAATGATGTGGTATTTTTAACATTGAAAAACAGAATTATCATCTCCAGTTACTCCTCCAGAGTGTCAAGAACTTCTGTGAAAAGATGACAGGCTTCATCTTTATCTTGAGAAGAAAGAAGACGTTGAGGTTGTCCCATCATTTCTTTTGAATTACAATGCAATTTCATAAATAGACATTAAAGTTCTTGCCAGAGGCATCATATTTGTATATTGTGTTCACATCCTGACTTGAAAAATAATCAGTGTTTACCTCCTGGCTCCCAAGTAATAGTATTATGATTTTCTCTAAAGATATTAAGCCTTCCAAATCCAAATCACAACCTCAGATTTTAGTGATACAAAGACCAAAATGTCACGGACCTCAGTTTTTGGCGGCGACTTGTGACTGGTTATGTAAAACTGTGCTTAAAGCTGAACTTCAGCTAGACATGAGGCAAGACAACAAATCGCTTTATCAAACGTATATCAAAAGACAGATTATAGCCACCATGAAAATTTCTCTGTAACTCCTTCATGCAGTGAGATACACACACACACACACACACACACACACACACCCCACTGACCTATAACCCTGATCCAGCGGTGCCACTGATGTATTTAATCAGTCTGTGTTGTTTGAAATCTAATGTTTACTTTACTAAATGGCAAGCCCCTCGGTGGCTGGGGCTATTGTTTTAACCTCTTCTACTGCTTATCTTAGATATGCAACCATCCGCAGGATCATAAAGAGACTGCAACATGAGCAACACGTGTTAGACAAATAAGCCACCATTGCAGTGAGATCTGGAAGCCTGTAACCTGCCTAGAGACAGGAGAGATGGGACAGAGGTGTGGGAAGGGATTAGATGGGCGGATGGACTCACATCGGGAGAGATTTTCAGTACTAGGCTAAGAGGCTTATACTTTATCCTGGGAACAATGGGAAGTGAGACAGGAATTGGGTCAGTTAAGTGGCATGAAGAAATAGGTGATTAAGAGTAATCTTCCGGAAGCATGCAGGCTGGAAGGAAACACTGAAACCAATTAAGAGGTAGCAAATTCAGTTCATTTTAGCTTATTGCAATTATTAAAACATCCAGACTTGTGTCTGACATTACTTTTTCGTTTCTATTTGTGCTTTCTCTATGCTTTTATCCTCTTCTCTTGCTTAACTCACTTGAGATTTTGTTTTGTCTTGTTTTAATTCCCTTTTTCCACTTTGATCATTTTGCCATAAATTTTTAAGTTAGAGTCTAAATTTAAAGAATGTCCTAATCCCTAACAATTCAAAGATGATAAAATTGTCAGATCAGATTACTGTCTTCCTGATTTACATGGTATTGTTGTCCAAATGAGGGTTATTGTTTTTCTTAATCCCAAAATTACATATATTAATAATAATTATTATTAGTAGCATATTTTATATTATAAATTATAATATATAATTAGACATGCATGTTATACTATACTATACAGTTATTTTTTTTCTTTTTTAAAGATTTTATTTATTTATTTGACAGAGAGAGAGATCACAAGTAGGCAGAGAGGCAGGCAGAGAGAGAGGAGGAAGCAGGCTCGCTGCTAAGCAAAAAGCCCGATGTGGGGCTCAATCCCAGGACCCTGGGATCATGACCTGAGCCAAAGGCAGAGGCTTTGAGCCACTGAGGTACCC